GATGATATATATATGTATAACCTTCCTCCCTCACACTGATCATCAACACTGATAATAAGTCCTTTCTCTCTCTCTCTCTCTCTCTCTCTCTCTCTCTGTCTGTCTGTCTATCATACGTAAAGATGCGGAGACGCTTCACTTTCACTTTCACTGTATATCCTGATACGATTCGATTGATCCTGAATCCTGCCTGGTTTTCTTGTTCTTTCTCCTAATAGTAGTCATTATAGTGCCCTGACTGTCTGTCTTTTTGCCCCTTTCTCTCTCTCTCCCTCTCTCTGACTGCCTGTCTTTCTTTGATTGCCCTTCATTTTTTTCTCTTTCTCTCTGTCTGACTGCCTTACTTCCTGACTGCCTTTTTCTCTTTGTCTGACTCTGCCTGACTGTCTCTGCCTGCCTTTTTCTCTCTCTCTCTCTCTCTCTCTCTCTCTCTAAACGGTAGTACTACTTGAAAGAAGTACTACTCGGACGACTATGAGGATTCAAGTAGTAGTAGTAGTAGTAGTAGTAGTAGTAGTAGTAGTAGTAGTAGAGAGTAGAAGTAGTAGTGTGTGTTCACCTGAGGTATCAAAAGTCACACAAATGTAGAACAATACTATCGTTAGTTAAATGTTAAATAAAATATATAATTCACTCTATACGTATATAATAAAATATAACGTTCATAATAAATACGCTACACTCGAAGGACGTAAAAATCGTCACAGTCACTTGAAACTTTGTGTGCTCAAAGATAGATTCAATTTTGAGGAAGTTGTTTCAAAGGTGACTCGGATCTACTATCCTAGCCAGGAATCGAGCGAGCTAACTATGTGAAATCTTTTCTGAAGTCCCTTTATAAAAATAATACCCTATGCGCTGAATGTAATCGTCGGCAATTAAAATTACAGAATATCCGGCCTACCAAAAATGAGGAAACTAACTAAATAAAAACGAAACTTGTATCGAACGTCATTGCGGTCTTTTTCGTCAAGTAGATGAAAGTCTGCGCGATATTAAAACCATAAGATATGAATATTCATTGTGTATTAAACAATGAGGATGGTTCGGGCTTACCATGTGCGGAAAGGGCCGAGAATTTAATGTGTGTCCTCTTGGTTCTTTTAGTATCTCCTTCCACCTCCGCCACCACCTCCCATGTTTCCACCGCCGATCGAACTCCCCCCGTAACCACCCTGGTTCCCGTATCCACCTCCAGAGTTACCCCCGCCAGAGTTACCGCCGCCCATAGGTCCTGCGAATGAATTTCCAAGTTGCCGGGATCCTTTGCGAGACAATCTCACGGTAAAATTGTTTGTAGGTCAACAAGGTCAAAGTTAAGATCAAAATTACTTGAGAAATGATCGTTTGGAAAACGTGAAAGTCTGCGTGGAGGGGAATCGTGTCCCATCCATTGATATTATTAAGTGATTAATGTTAAGTCGCTATTTTTTTTTTAAGAATTAGTTCGGTTTTTTTATCAGAGTTTAGGCAACCTTGTCCACCGAAGGGCGGTAGCCATCTCGAGTCCCCGGACTGGCGGCCACTAGGACCGCCGCCACCACCCATATTAATACCATAGGGCGCCGCTCGTCCGCCGCTGTTGAAGTTGTTCCTCACAGGACCGCCGCCGTAGCCTTGTTGATAACCGCCTCCGAAGTTGTCGTTACTCCAGTTGCCACCGCTGTTGTATCCGCCCTGACCACCTTGTCCACCCCAACCGCCACCGCCGCCGCCGCCACCTATAAATCACACGTGACAATCTGTCGTAGCCGTAGAGTCCCCGGGCGAGTAGCCACGCGATACCGATGGGGCAGTTTTCACCGAGGTGGAAAAGAGCACAGGCAGCACGATGCCAGCTCTTACCCTGGTTCTGATTCTCCCACGGCCCATTGCCACCCCAGCCACCTTGATTGCCACCACCGTAACCGCCCTGGTTGCCACCGTTGTTCCAGTCACCGCCGCCGCCACCGCCGCCACCGCCACCACCACCGCCGCCACGATTACCCCAGTTGCCCCCTCCTTGATTGCCACCCCTAGGACCTCCTCGGCCTCCTACGTTCTGGCCACCTCTGCTTCCTCCACTCTGCTGGCCGCCGCCAGTAGCAGAAGCCATTTCTGCTTTACTCAACGCCTGCGATGGACATTGAATCGATTCTCATCCAATATTAATCAACGAAAGACACAGCACATTCAGGCATCAATTCAAGTAACTTACTTTCTTGACATCAACGTGCTTCCCGCCTATCTGATGATTTCTTTGCAAGCAAATCTTGTCCACTGGGTCATAGTCGTTAAACTCGACAAAACCGAAGCCACGTTTCTTCCCAGTCTCCTTGTCGGTGACTATACTGATCGAATTTATACTACCGTAACTCTGGAAATACTGCCTGAGATCCTCCTCTTCGTGATCGTCCTTCAAGCCGCCCACAAACAGTTTCTTCACCGTGGCCCCGGCCTCGGGTCTACCAATCTCCTGTCGAGGTACAGCTCTCTTGGGTTCCACCACGCGGCCGTCCACTTTGTGAGGTCTACATTTTCAAACGAAGAAAGTTATCGAACCTCGTTTATCTTTAAGAACAGTTGAATATCACTGATCTAAACGCATCGAAAATGTATGCACAGAGATCAATTGTTTGGAATAGGTGGAGGCGGGGGGCGGGGGAGAGAGAGAGAAAAGCAAAGTCAATAGCTTTCATACAAAATATTGTTTCGCGTTTTTCGAACAGTTGAAGAATCACCTTGCATTTTGGGCATCGTCCACCATGTGTGCGCGGGAGTATGTTATGAATCCAAATCCCCTGGATCGTTTCGTCTTCGGATCCTTCATTACCACCACGTCTACGATCTCCCCCCATTTCTCGAAGTGTTTCTTCAACGACTCGTCCGTTGTCCTATAGTCCAACCCACCGATGAACAATTTCCTCACGTGCTCGGGCTCGTTCTTTTCCTAAAACGAACGCGCACCGTCTGAATTCCCGTCTGAACGGTGAAGAAAACTGTGTGGACAACTCTTTCTTCCACCATACATGTGTATACTGCCACATATACGCTACATATGTTTTCAGACGCAAAGAAATATAAAAATTTACGAAAGAACGAATGCATTAAGCGTTTATTCGAACATTTGCGTGCACCCAACTCTTTTCATTCGCAAATTCGACTTCACACAAGCGTGTAACGTAAGCCATAACCAAGAGAGCTACGTTCATCCATTGCTCACCTCGTGCTCCATTTTCACCATTTTCAATAAATCTGAAAGGGCCAGGGAGAGTGGCCCTAGCCTCCGATATCTTAAAATCAATCAAGATATTCGCTTATTATTAAGAAAACACACAAAACTCGTATCTCACTGTCCGGGACGACACTGAACGCAAAATGGCATCAATGGCGTCGCATGGATCGATTAACTGACTCGTTTCCCTTTACGCAAGCCGTGTGAACCCCGAAGCTGCGACGAGACGACATGTTGGCTGTCATCTTGGCTTTCCGCGCGTGCGCAGGCAGAGTGACGCTTAACACGCACGAATGAAGCGAAATAGTTTTGAAATATCGTAAAACAGACAACATGTAAGTACCTTGAAGTTTCTTTTATTATTTAACTTTGAGCGCGTCTGTCGATTGTCAAATGGGAATGTGGAGAAGCGTCGGCAGAACATCATTATACGTGTGAAGATTTTATCGTCAGACGGCGGCAGCGGCTTCTCAGTTTTCAAAGTAAGTTGAAAAAAAAAAGACAAGTTGGACGTGCAACCAAGATCTTAACCTAAGTATACCGCTTTAAAGACGCGTACAGTACGTATGTATAATTTTGTCCATGTCCGTAATGGATCTACTGATTCTCATGTTTTTAATCATCGCTAATCGTGGCGAACGATGTTCCCTGACATTTTGATAAACGCGTAAGCATAAGCACGGTTAAGTATAATCGAAAGATGAATCTGCTTTGTGACTAATGACAGGTGGTATCGGATTCAATCGATGACACCGACGTTACGATTAATTTGCGATTCATTTAGCATATTATCGTCGTCGTGCAAACATTAACTGCGAGATACGTATCGTGCACATAAAAAATACAATTCTCCCTGTACCGCGGTGTCACACGGTGGGTAAAATAGGCTATGACTAATTTTCGAATGTAATTTTCGCGTAATAACATTGCCGGGAAATCTATGATTTCATGGAGACACGTGATCTCAAGGCTTTTCGAAAGCTCCGAGCAAATTAATAGCGCGCGCCGCGTTAATAATCGTCCATTACCATCGCACCTATTCTCCACAAGTCCCGCACCCACCCAGCTAGCTGCTCATTATTTCTCACCTGCCCTCGATTATTCTCACCTAATGTTCAACCCAATCCTTTCCTTTTTTCCCCCCAATTCCTGGTTTGTCAAAGATAGCCGCCGATCAGCATTTCTCAGCAAACGCGTTGTAGTCACAGCTGAACGATTCGAAGAAGATCGAGGGAGAAAGGGATGGGGAAAGGATCGAGTTTGTTCGAGGCGCACGCGGACGCGTAGTCTTTGACAGTTTCATGTCAACAAATGTCGTGAGTCGCGCCCAGCCGCAAGGCAGACTTGCACCAGGCGATCGTCGTTGTATTTGCGAGAACGGCCAATCGTTCGTGCCCGTCACGTCACCATCGTCCAGTCTCCTTCGTTCCCGATGACGACAGTAGCTAAAAATAGCCTGTATATATCTAGGCCGGTCGCAAACGCGAATTATCCACAGTCGTGCGCCGGCAGCCGACGGAGAAGGAACGTGTCGAGTGTTTTCGAACGCGCTGTGTTTGTCGTTCGCATGAAAAAGGTAGGATACGGACAGCAAAAACGACCGTCTTCTTCTGTTCGGGTGATAAACGCGCATTATAAGGTCGCGTACTAGCTGTAACCTTGAATAATAGAGCTCGTAGGACAGTGTGTCGTCGAGGTGTAATTTCGTTCACTAGACCACGTTCGTTAAATGCTTCAACGACACGTTCGTACTGACCAAGTCACTTGTTCTGGATATCTGGATGAAAAATCGACGTTTGTGACGAGTTGTACATCTGTTACGGAAGAAATTTCATTGAAATGGCTCGTCCGTCGTGAAAATCTAGTTCGTAGCTAAAGTCAAGGTCGCGCGAATAGCTGTAGTAGAACTGTATTATTGCGAACAAATTGTGTTTCGCACAAAATCGTTGTGAGAACGATACTCGATCTTAATCGAAGCCATGAGAAAGACTGACGTTAACATGTGTCCACAGATTCTGTATGTACGACAGAGATCGTGAAGTAAAATCGTCGAGATGAGACTCGTCGTAACGAAACGAGAGAAGTGTGTCGGTCAAGTAATTTGTCAGGATGCGGATTTTCGCGAATTTCTGGCATCGCGAGGTATCGCGCAAAACCTACGAGGACGCATTCGTGATAGATGCACGATTAAAATGTCACGGAGAGCATCTCCGATCTACAGTGTGGGTTGCGTTAAATATAACGAGACAGAACGTTCGTAACATTGTCACGAATAACTGACTACGCGATCCCCTCGGTTACAGTGTGTGTGTGTGGTGTCTTACCTTTGACTCTTTGTTCACATGTTTCTTACAGACGATCAATTTTAAATTAATCAATTGGAGTCGAGTAGTATGACAAATAAACGTAATCATAAAACCTCGTATTACCGCGGTTTAAACGTGCCCCGCGTTTACTCATTATGAACGCGCTTACGTATCGCTCGTAGGGGAGCACGTTTAACCGTTTAACCGGAAAAACAAACTGTGTAAAAAGTTTCAACAATTCCTCAATGGAATCGTAGATTGTTGCACAGCCGAGGAACGTTTTCAGATGTAATTTCTAACACGGTATAAATAAATTCGAACGCGTCTTAATTGTGCCTCGTTCGCGTATGCTCTGGCGAAAATAAGCGAACGTTTCTCGTTGATACGTTATCGTTCAAAAAAATAAACGAATTCATTGAAATTTGAATAAAGTTTGCGATGCCATTATACATATGTTTACGTTCGTTTATAAACTTGCTCCGCTGATAATCGTTATACAACTTAATCTTATCTCCGTATTCGCTATGCAAACGAGTCAATCTTGCCTAGGTGCGATTCGCTGGACGTGATAATTGCGTACAAGGTTCGACAATGTGTGTCTCGGAGATTTTCTCTATTTTCTACAAATTTTATGTGACATTTTGTTCACGCAAATCCACGAAGCGGTTTCTACAACTTTTAAGCGAACGTTCGAGAGAGCAGGAAACAAGTGTCTTCCGACGCCTACATCCCTTTCGGAATTTTTAAAGTAAATTACTGATCTTCATCGCGACAAGTCGGTAGAGTTGCCAATCTGTAATTATTATTGCTAAACGTAGATTCCACGGCTTCTTCTCGACAGTAATCCTTGCATGGAGAACTTTTGAACCTACACACAGAGTGGCGTTTCCATATCGTCCAAGACCGTCAAATATACATGCATGTATGTACGTGTTGCCGCCAGTACTTACTAGGCGAACGCCTGTTTATCTCGCTTTCATCGATGACTTTTGCCCATCTAGCATCCGTCGTTGGGTTTTGATTCCCCCCTTTGCACGCACGTTTCCCATTTGCATCGATCTGTCTTGTAATACATAGTAATAATAGTACCTATCTCAGATCGTCGTGACGATTCCTCCCCGGCACTCCGTCTTGTACAACTTGGAACTGTATTTCCAGGAATGATAGGAAGATGTCAAAGGAACTTTTTATTTATCGATCAGGTATATTTATTCATATGCGTTGATAAGCGAATTTCGCAGCCAATTTCGTGGAATCCGGTGTCGGGAATCGGGTACGGACCGAGGGGGCGCGTTTTAATTAAATCTACCGTGGTCAAGGAAAAACGTGTGTATGCGGCGGGTGAGAGCTCTCGCGCGGTTGATTTATCAGCACGAGGGGCGAACAGCAGAGATCGTATATACGCTTAGAAAGGCTGCGACTGCTCCGCGAGTCACCTTCTTACACACACGCACGCACACGCACGCACACGCACGCGACTAAGAGATGATATAACTGGATTTGCAAGCTGTCACAGTGAAAGAGCGAGAGATGAGGAAAAAAAGAAAAGAGGCCCGGCGGGGGAGGCCATTATTGTTCAAGGGCGTCAATGGAACGATTAAATTTGAAATGCTAATGCGCGTCGCAGTGAAATGGCGATACACACGATTCGCGCTTAAATAATCCATTGTACGAACAAACGAATCCTCCCGCGATCCTCGTATCAGCAAATCGTTCGTCTGCATCTATTTTCAATCAATCAGAATTTTTAGTATTTTAATCGAGCGGTGAACGAACGGTGCTGCTCTTCACCGGCTTGCTCCAGTTCCCTTCTCGAATCAATGAACACATTGTTTGAGTTTGTTACTGTTTATGGGTGGTAGTAGTAGTAGTAGTAGGTCGATCCCCTTATCGATACTCTATTTCGCGCGATAAAAAAGCTCCAACTGTTCACACACTCACGTATTTAACGACCGAATGAAATCTGAATATTTTCTTCAACGCTAGAGGACGTCGATGATGCCATTTGCATGAATTAGTCCGTAATTTATTCCGCGCGATTAATCAAACGACTATGTCTCGTAGTTGTAAACGAGATCTCGAGTCGACTTATTCACCGTACGGCAGTTTTTCAAATTTATTTTCGATTTTACAATCATTTTACGACGCTTTCTCGTACGCTGAATCATAACGCTGTCCATGTATCCAATAACAATCACGTTATTTTAATCCGATGATAAATCGCGCATTACGATCAGTGGCACACGATTTTTTAGCCAATGTTTCATCGAATGAATTCACCACCTCTTCCATCGAGCAGCCTGGCGTTTTCCCGTTCTTTTTTCCGAAAGATTTTTCCTTCAGGCTCGCGGGACGTCTCTCGTCGTCGTCGTCGTCGTCGTCGTCGTCGTCGTCGGAAAATCGACCTTCTTCGTAGAATAAACTCTGTACGCGAGTAAACGTCGTTGCGTCCAAGTAGTAAGGGTAAATGATGCACAATATTCTAGTCGTAATTCATCGCGAACGAGCGACAACAAATCTGCGTCACTTTAGAGATCAAAGCAAAGTCGAAGCGTGCACATACCGCCTCCTTTTCTCCGTTATATCGTCTCCGATGGAACGGGGGCGCGTAGTCGTAGATCGCGTTTGTCATACCGTCGGGAACGTCTCTGCGAGAGCTTCTCTTACTTCCTCGAGTCCGAGAGGAGATGACCACCGGGAGCAGCAAACTTTGTAATCGTAGAACCGCGGACGACAATAATCCGAGAGCCTCTACAACGTCTTTATTTCTGGCCTGATCCCATGTGATCCTACACGAGAACAGTCGGCTAGATTTATCGCCTCCAATTTGTTTCGTCTCGTCTAAACGGAAAAAGGGAACAGGTTTTTGATCCTACGTAGAAGCCGACGAGACGATTTTTGCTCGTCGTTTCACATTGAATTTCACTATGAATGAGAACAGTTCTCTGTTTGTGAATAGGTGGCTACAAGGAATTTTGTTTTGAAAAACCGTCAGTCAACACCCGGCTTTCTCGTCGCGTTCTCGTGGAAACACCAAAGTCGCGCGGGGCTGTGTAGGATTCCTGCCAGCATCCATGTTGCATAATCATCAGGGAAAGAAAGGGAACGAGGGACAGGATTTCAAACGCTGGGTCGCACGTGCTCGGAGATCCTAAAATTCCCGCGTTGACCCCGTCACGAATATTTTGCAGTTCTGCGAAATTTCTCCGCGCGGTCTCCCGACCGAAAGAGCACCGCGAGACATACGAAAATTGTTTACTCGGTTTCTTCGGGGGTATTCACTCACATACACATGTGCAGCAGTATCATTGTTTTACAACGAGGTCTCTTTCACCGTTCAAGTGTGGATGATAGTCGTTTCGTCGGGGCGAACCAAACCAGAGACGAGAAATAATTGCGCTTTCAAAGCGAGAGATTAAAAATCAAATTGTGTTTAACGATTCCTTCTTTTCCCGGTTCGTCAGAAACCCCCGTTTCAACTCGTGATGATACGACGTGATATGAGAACGGGAGAACAGCGGCATATGCGGGCTCAATTGCGAGTAACGCGTTTTCGTTCCTTTTTCAACTGCCACGTCGACAGACACGCGTGATATATCGGAAAAATTGTCGAACGAAATGTTTTTTCAGCAGCGTGTATTTCATCTTGTGCAGCTCGTGACGTAACATTGGCTTCTGTAAAATTCGATCGAAAGCACGTGTGATAATGTCTATTACTCTCAGTCAGTCCCAAGGCTGCATTCTTGACACTTGTGTGTGTGTGTGTGTGTGTGTGTGTGTGTGTGTGTACACCTACGCTTTATGAAAAGCTTCGTATCCGCCTTATCTGTAATCTATCCCATCGAACGAAAAAAGATTGTGTTTTCGTACGTTTCCACTGCCGGCACTTTCATTCCCGATAGTGAGACGTGCGCAAAGTCACGTTCTCAATAATCATTCATAACGTCTCATTTTCATTGATCTCGATCACCGCGATTCCTAACAATTACTCGTAAAGGCTAACGTTACCAAGATTTCTGCAGAGACTCTCTCGTCGGAAGGAAGAGAGAACGCGGGTCGTCGAGTTTGTCAGACGATTCTCCCCATCGTCTCTAACCGTCGACGTTGTCGTCGGCTGCCGGTTGACAAAGTATTCCTCTCGATCGCCGAAACGTAGTATGCGTTGCAGAAAAGACGGCCGCAGGAATTAGGCCGCCCACGCTTATGTCGACGACCGAAAAAGCTTGATAAAAGCTTTCTGGCCAGATGGGCACCGGTTGCTCTCTCTCTCTCTCTCTCACGCACTGTTTTCTCTTGTTACGATTACGCGTATGTTCTCGGTGACTTTTGCCGGTAATACTTGGGTTTCGCGTTATCGTTACATCGCGGAACGAAGGAATGCGAAGCACTCGTACATCCATTTTGTTTCGATGTCTTTTCATTTTTATCTTTGCGACTCGCGATTTTCTACTCTGGCGATCGGCGCCACGACATCAGTGCCGCGATTCATGCGTTCTCGCTCGCAATCGTGAAAAACGTTAACAACTCTTTTCCTCTGCTCGTGTTCTAGGAGGGAAGGATTCGAGCGAGGATTTTCGGGAGCTCGCACGCGACAAGCGCCGCACAATGCTCGTACGAATCGGAAGTGAGCTTATTATTAGGCCACAGGTCTACGAATAGCCCGCACCTTGAAGCAACACATGTAAAGGCGCTTATAAATTCCGTGATGTTTCGAGTCGTGTTCACAGACCCACTTTTTGTGTATATGCATCGCCGTTCTCTTTTCGGGCACGTTTCAACGGGGCACGTTCCCCAATGTTTTGTTTTATTTTCATAAAACGACGTCTCTGTTTTCTTTTAATTACAATCTAGTTGTCTATCGTGGTCTTTGGACAAGAGAGATCAGCGGCCGAATACCGCGGAGGCGTGTGTTCGTAGGCATACATCAAAATCAAACGATTTCTATTTATACGTTTTAACAGCGTGCAGCGCGCGACGGGTACGATCGGACACCTGTTTTCGTTCAAACAAACTCGAGCCTACGATTATTATTTCAAATCCGTTGCATCTCGTTTCCATAAGCGTCCCATCGATTCGATCGAAGGTAATTGACACGAGTAAAAAAGTTTGCGTATATTTTCGGTTTAGAAGAATTCTTCATCGCTCTGTGGCCTCGATTTGTTTGAATCCTCTCGGCTAGGCTTCTTTCTCTCTCTCTCTCTCGAGAGAGAGAGAGGCATCAAGTAATAGTGAACTCGCTCGTGAAGCACACGTTTCTCGTGCACGTAGAAAAAGGTTTTACAAGTGTACCATCGCTAAATAGTACCGATCGGCAATCAAGTTCTCAGCTGTTGTTGCACCTCGTAGAGTGCACAGTGGGTCAGTTGAGCGGGGGGAGGGGGGGGGGCTGTTCTTTGGAACGTTGATGGCACCCGTGGTCCAAGAAAGTCGATTTTTTTTGGTGGACCGCTCTTGACTCGAGTGGGGCGACCAGAAGGAACCGTAGAAGGCTACGAAGGAGGAGCTGCAAGGGCATTAGGCTCCGGAACGATCAAATTCTTACGAAACACGCACGGCTCGTCTCTCTCGCGCTCGTGGTGAAAAGAAAGGCGACGTCGAATCGGACAGAACACTTTTCAGGGAACGATCGTAGAGTGCGGAATGTTTCGAATGCGTCCTCCAGAAGTCTTTTTCAAAAGTCTCGGCCCGAAATGTATTTTTGACGAGCGTTTGACAAGCTTTTAACGTTCCCCCTTCCGACGCGTTTTCGTTTCCGACGTCCATGCGCCGCGCCTCGTTATTTTTGCGATCCGCAAACGTGTGTTACGTAAGTCGACTACCTTCTGGAAAAGTTACCGGAGGAAGATGGTCCCCGAACAAGAGATCATCCTCTTCTCACTCGGAGAGAAACGTAACGTGTATATAGGTCACAATCATGATGAATTGTTTTACACTGATCGAGTCTAGTTATATAATTTGCCGATCAATTAGCGACGTGTATCGTCGAGAGGTATGATGACTCTCGACTGATTGTAAGTACCGGTCGTGTTCGCGGTAGCCATCTTCGGCTTCCGGTGTGTGTCGTTATCAACGCGATTCGGTCTGAATTCCTCCTTGTTCCGGCATTGATTCAATAGCCGTAACGTCCAAGGCCGTATCAATAAACGCGTTCCCCGGAAAGAAGAATGCACAATAAGGGGAATCAAGATCCAGTTAGCGAAGGTTCAAACGTTGCTGTGCGATCTAGAAATCCATCTTTTACAACTTGAAAATTGCCCGGCTATTTCTAACGGAAGGGCGAAGCGTAATTTCGAAAGAGTCGAGCATTATATTTCATTCGTACGAAAAACTTTTGTTGGCGGTGGACCATTTTACCTTTACTTTAACGTTTGCCAAACTTTTGTGTTTACATTCATAAATCGCCGAGATACTCGTAACACAAATTCGGGACGGGTTTTCCTATGAGAGAACAAATCGCGAGAGATTACAAGGATACATTTTTTTTTTCTTGTTGTCATTGTTCGATCTCTTGGTTCGATCTGACGAGTGTATTCGAGGAAAACCGCAGTCAAGGCTGTCGCGCTATCGGCGCGCAAGTCCCCTCGAATTGCACAGATAAAACGGAACCTTCGTTCTCCAACTTTTTTTATCCGTTTAAAATGTATTTCGCGTTTAGCCAACGAGCACAAGATAAACAGATTTCTCTCGTTTATGTTGCAGACTATTAAATGGTAGTTTAACCATGTACAATCTGAACGTGAACCTGAATCCTAGTCCGACGGCTGCCGCGGGTCTTCTCGGTGTCGCGGCGGCCGAGGTCACGCCAAGGACACCGGAAATCGTAAACTCTGTAATCGCCATGACCAATCCCTTCGAGGGTTATACGACCAACGAGAGAAGCAGGGACCGTACGGACTCTACGGACAGTGGTGAGCCGAGCCCACCGAGTGTTCAGCACACCTGTAGTCAGCTCATTAAAGAAGGTACCCATCCGGTGGTGTGGTGGCCTTATCCTACTGGGTCCGCTTTTTTCTTTTGCTACATTTTTATCATCCCCGCTATGCGTGGGTCAGTAGAGAACGTATGTTGTTTGTTCAACAACTGTTTGAAATTCAACTTTGCTCGCTCGATCTCTCCAAATATTTCTATATTCGCTCATCGCAATTGAATTTATGCCGTTTTTACATGCCGATACGTTAGCGAATGTTATTCTTGTCCCTGTTGTCCTGGATAATCGACGCGACTAAATCTTGTTGTCTCGATTGAAGGATTGAAGTTGACGCTACAGACAAAGAGGCGAGCCAACGGGACCGGTGAGGACACGAAGAAGAAGAAAAGGGAGGACGGGAGCGCGGACGACGAGGAGGAAGAAGAGGCCGGCAATAACAACAACCGCGGTGGAGTAAGAAATCTTCACATACTGTTTTTCGTTCAAAACACGAATAAAACAGTCGCGCGACGTTGGTCTATCCGCGACGTAAGGGTTTTCGAGTCGGGGCTGTCTCAAAACGAAATTTTTCTATGCTTCTGATCGTCCGAGAATCGTCCGTAAGCATCTGTAATAAGCGCAAGTTGAAATTGTAGCTGACGCCGGAGGACGAAGAGAGGCGTCGAAGAAGACGCGAGAGGAACAAGATCGCCGCGACCAAGTGCAGGTTGAAGAAGCGCGAGAAGACGGTGACGTTGGTGCACGAATCGGAGATCCTCGAGACGCAGAACCACGACCTGAAGTCGCAGATACAGGAGTTGGAGACGCAGAGACGCAGGCTAGTGGACATGCTCAGCCTCCACGGACCGACGTGCATAAAGCAAGGCGGCCCGGATAATTCGTATCAACAGTTTGCCGAACCGCTTCCCAGTTATCAGGAGAATTTCGTCCAGCCGCCGCCGGCGTTGAACCAACCTCAGAACTGTGTGACGGACTACCCGGTGAAGGTGGAGGATTACGAGACCGAGTTTTACCGGCAAGAGAGTCCCTTTGTACCGACCACCACGGACACTGGTTGCACGGTTTAGTACTCGTTTCAACGATACGCGCCATTTCGAGGAGCGGTTTACTCGTTCGTTTGACGACGGACAGACACGACTGTGTATGCATTCCAAGAAGACGCGAGAAAGCAGGAACGATTTTTTATTGACGAGCGGTAAACCGCCCTTCCTCTTCCTCCTCCTCCTCCTCCTCCTCCTCTGTCAATCGCAAGTCTGTAGCTCGTAAGTTGTTACATAATAGTATACCCCCGTTTGTCCTTCTTCATCTTTGTCTTTCTTCACATAATTCTTTTTTAACGCGTCCCTTTATACTCGTACGTTCAACGCTTAAAGACATTCCTTGAAAAGTAACACCCTTCTTCGAAAGTAAGTTGACCGATTCCTTGAACGTAAGTACTGTGACATTCTAAGACTCGTAATTAACGAGACGTAAGATGGAGACGCCTTTACGATGCCCGGACTCAAAATCAACATTTTAGCTGTATAAGAAGCTGCTGGTTGCAACTGTTTCGTTCGCGTTATTTATTTTTTCGCTGAAATTAAGCAAGTATTCATCGACAAGCTGAGGATCGCAAAGGCGTTTCGCGTTGATTTAATAAGCAAGGTCGAGGAAATTCTTTTACAAACGGATGGGTCGCGTTCGGTGCCTTTTATTTTTTACGCGACCACTTCGTATCGATATTCATCGATCAGTGACGAGAAAAGTTTGTGTCTCAAAACTGTAATAATAAGTCTTCTGATATTGATTGCGACTGTCTCTCGCGTATATCGGTACGCGAAACGCGTTTTCAAATCGATACTTGTGTAATTTATACGAGCAATCGAGAACCACGTATTTAATTGCTAATTAAAATGTTGCATATTTTATACAGACCGCGTATTTGTACGTTTATTACGTTTAAACTCGTGAACGCGCACATATGAAACGCGTACGATGCCTCCGAGAACAAGATTAGAGTGTGCTCCAAATTTTTCGGAGGCGTGAGCACGCGTCGTTGACGCACGATTACATGACACGAACGACATACCTCAAACGGGTTGATGGTTACCCTCCCCAAGTGCGTTTGTAACGACAAAATTCTTTCGCTTTAAGAACGTATTGGCTATACAGTCAATTCCAAACG